CACAATAATTTTTCCGAAATTTTGAATTTTTTTAAATAAAGAAGCGAAGAGCCATCTTATGAAATTTCACCATATATATTCTATAAAAACTGTGTAAAAACTGACCGTGTGTGCGGTAAAAATGTCTTTGATAATGCCTCAAAACGCTGGAAATGACATTTCCGAGAGTTAAGATCTCAAAAAGTTCCGAACCCCCCTTGCACCTCCTCGCCGCTAGTCCCCCCAAACAAATTCACGCTCCGCGGTCCCTTGTTTAGTTAAAATAAACGGAGTGTCTAAACGTCAGGCAGCCTAATTTTTTCTTATAAAATCAGGCAGTCTAATTTTTTCTTATAAAATCGTCGGAACAACCGTAATTTCAATTAATACAACAAGGGAAATGCAATTAAGACCGAAATAATACTGTTCGACAAGTTTCAAACACAAGCACGGCATTTTGAGATTTTCGAATGCCTGACGTTTAGTCCCAGAACTAAACGTCAGGCAGTCGATTTTTGGTGTGAAAAATCGTCGGAACAACCGTAATTTCAATTAATACAACAAGGGAAATGCAATAAAGACCGAAATAATACTATTGGACAAGTTTGTATAGTCACAAGCCCCGGTCACAAGCACGGCACTTTGAGATTTTTGACTGCCTGACGTTTAGTCCCAGAACTAAACGTCAGGCAGTCTATACTTGTCATGTACCATGATTATTGTTCTGAATTAAACCAAAATATTGTTGAACAACGTCTCGTTTATAATCCAAATTTTGGATTTTACGATGTTATCCTTCCTCGGACTCGTTTTTGTCATTCTATATGTCAAACTGTCAGATCGTAATGGATTTTCTACTGATATTAGACAGGCAAAATATCGTGACCTTCCCCGCCCCCCTTCAACCACCAGAAAAAAATTTCATTGTCCACAATTAGCATCCAGTGAATCAGTGGTGCAGGGCCTATAATTGAACCATTCTTTCTTCATTTTCAAGGGATAAGGATTAGGATATTTGATAGGCAGTTGATTAGAACATTTGATTCATCTATTCTATGTATTGTTTCTTTATACATTTGATATACTTTGTTTGTCTTAGTGTTGTTGTGGCCATTGAACAAAATAAAACACTTTCATTATCTATTTATACTGTGAACCAATTATTATTATTATTAACTGCATATCAAATATCCTAATAATTATCTCTTCATTCAAAATGAAGAAACAATGGTCTAATTATATATAAAAATTGTTGTGGTAATGGTTGAAGGGGGATGGTCTGATACAGAGAGGGTTAGTAAATTTCACTTCATCCACAACTCTAGTATGCCATCACCTTATTCTCAGTACCCAGTTTTAAATTTCCACCTCCCCTTCTCACTGCTATTCCATTTCTCTTGTGCTATTAAGACTTTTACACAAAAAAAGTATAGACTGCCTGACTTTTAGTTCAAGTGCCGTGCTTGTGACCGGGGCTTGTGACTATACACACTTGTCCAACAGTATTATTTCGGTCTTTAGTGCATTCCCTTTTGTATTGATTGAAATTACGGTTGAACCGACGATTTTTCAAAAAAAACATCGACTGCCTGACGTTTAGTTCAAAATTAATCAAAATTGATGAAAATTAATCAAAATTGATAAAAATGGATCAAAATTAATCAAAATTGATCAAAATTAATCAAAATTGATCA